AAGTCACTTGCCCAGGGTCACACAGCTAGTAAGTGTTAAGTGTCTGAGGCTGTATTTGAACTCAGGTCCTCCTGACTCCAAAGCCAGAACTCTATTCACTGTGCCACCTAGCTGCCCTCAAAATTTGAAATTTTCGAGAGAGCATCTAGCTTCCAAAAATATCTTGAGTTACCTAGCTCAAAAGTATTATATCCAAGAATATTGGATTTGGATTTAGAAAATCAGCATTTGAATTATCATTCTGCTGTTTACTACTTGTATGACCTTGGAAAAATCACTTCATCTATATGGGCCTCAGTTTTCTCTTCTATAAAATGAAGGAGAAGGACTAGATGTCCATAGGTTAGTGAGCTAGATGCAGATTTCATGGGAAAAAATACTAAAAGGGATTGTTAAAGTGGTAGTTTGTAAGCATTTAGAAAAGGAAGTGATAATTCATTTCTATTTGTCAGCATGATTCCTTAAAACTCATTTGTGCTAAATTAATCTTACTTCATGTTAGGACAAGATTACTAAACTGGTAGATCAGGTAAATATTAGAAATACAATATACCTGAATTTATCCAAGTCTTATGGTTAGGAAGAAATAGGTAAAGATTAGATGACAAGAAAGTTAAGTGGTTAAGCACAAGATAACTCACTAGACCCCATAAGTGATGATTAATGCAAGCCTGGGGAGTAGTCTATAGTAGAGTGCTATACATTTATGTCACTGGTTCTATTTTGTTCAACATTTTAAATTAACTATTTGAATAAAGGAATCAATGGTATGTTTATTATATTTTAAAGTGAATTATAGATTGAGGAAAAATAAATAGTATACACACACACACACACATATATGATGAAAAAAGTGGCTGAAGCTCGTAAGATGAAATTTAATAGGTAAAGTCTTGCACTTGAGTTCAAAATATCAGTTGCATAAGTACAGAATAGGAAAGACATGGCTAGAGACAGTTTATGTTGAAAAACATCTGAGAATTTTAGCAAATTCTTAGCCCAATATAAATAAGTCAACAGTATGACAGGACAAACAAACAAAAATGCAATTTTGAATTTAGTGTTCAGAATGAGGAAAATAATAGTTCCATTGTCTGCTGTTATGGTCAGACTATATATAGGGTATTGTGTTAAGTTCTGAATGTTACACTTTAGGAAGAATCTTGACAGGTTGGGAGTGAATACAAAGAAGAGTGGTTAGGATAATTAGGGAACTAAAGACATTGTCATGAAGATCCAATCTAGTAACCCTAGGACGTTTAACATCCTGAAGTGACAGTTTAGGTGATATTTAATGACCATTGTCAAGTGTGAAGTTTTCTTATAGAAGAGGAATTTGATCTGCTCTACTTGGTTCCAGAGATGCCAATGAAAGTTACAAAGAAGCACAGTTCACTAGCTTTCATAAAAAGAACCTTGGGAGAGGTAGTCATTGAAGTGGCTTCATGTAGAAGCTTCATGATCATTTATTGAGGACATTGTAGTCCTGACTCATTCCTTAATTTGTGATGGAAGAGTTAATTATTTCTGCTTTTTAAACAGCTTTACTGTAAACTTTTAGAGAGCAGGAAATTATGTCTTTATAAACAAATTATAACACTTAATTTAGGGTCCTGCATCCAGTATGTGCTTTAAAAATAATTGCTTATTGGTAATAGTAGTAGTTTTTCATAGAATGACCAATATGTAATGTTAATATTATAATAGGATTAAAATATAATCTTATTGTATTCAATAATGAGTTTTATTACATGAAAAGATAATTTATCATATTAAAATGATACCATGGTCATTTCCCAAAAGTTGATGATTAAGCATTTATGGCAGGGTAATGGTTTTTAGTCCCTAAAGTTTTAAAGTAAATTTAATATTTTGTACCCAGAGGCAAGCATGCTTATTTCTTATGTATAACAGTTTTTGAGGCCTTTTTGGTTTGAAAATAATTTATTTTGCATATTCCTTTTGGTCTATTTCAATTCAGTCTTTGTGTAATTTAAGATGGAAAAAGCTTCGAAAGCACTTTCTATTTTAAATTCTCTGTTTTCCAAGATTTCATAACTGTATCCCTTATGTTAAAAACATATCCATTCCATAAAACACATGAACACATTCCTAAATTCCTAAATTATATAAGGCATACTTTATTTCTGGCTTTGTAATTATAATGAAAGGGACAAGAATTTCAAAATGAAAAATATACGATATTTTCCAATTAGAAACTAAATGCATTTTTACAAGACACATAAATACTCTAAAGTTCTACTTGCTTACTTCACAAATATGAGAAAAAGCCCATATCTAAAGTTTTCTTTTAGTTATCTAGGGTTTTGGTCTTTGGGTTTTTCCTCATGTGAAAAAGCAGATAAAATTTATCTTTTTCCATTAAGACTCATTCATGAAAAAAAAATGGGCTAACCAACAGGTCACTATTAAATTTTGCGAGAACTGTGCTCTACTCTGCTCTGGTTAAAGTGCTTCTGGAGTCTCCTGTTCAATTCCAGATGTCACATTTGAAGGATGACACTGACAAGCTAGAGTAGGTCCAGGAGGAAAAGGGACCTGGAAACCATGACATGTGAGGAGGATCCATTTAAGGGAAATAAGATTGTTTAGACTGGCAAAAAGATAATTTAATTGAAGAAAGACTAACTATCAGATAATATTAGGTAGAAAGAATAGACTTATTTTTTCTTGGTCCTGCAGAACTAATATTATAGTGTGGTAGATTTGAATAGGATATAAGGGGAAAAAAATTGCTAGAAATGAGAGCCCTCCCAAAGTGGAACAGAATGGCTTTGCTATGTGGAGTTAGCCATCACTTAACATCTTCAAACAGAGGGTGAATAATCACTAGTTAGACATATTGTAGAGAGGATTCCTATTCAAGTATTGATCAGTCTAGAGCAGGGGTGGGAAACTTGTGGCCTATAGGCCACATGTGGCTTCCTAGGTCCTTGGGTGTGGCCTTTTGATTGAGTCCAAGTTTTATAGAACAAGTCCTTTTATTAAGGGGATTTGTTCTGTGAAGTTTGGATTCAGTCTAAGGCCCATGCCTGAGTACCTAGAGGGCCACGTGTGACTAAGTTAAGTTTTAGAGCCAAGTTCTTGTAAAAAGGGATTTTTCTATTTTTAATAAATATACTATGTTGCATGTTGCCCTGAGTAATCTTCTAGAAACATTTAGAACTAATTTTTTTGTGTTGTTTTTACTAAAATTAGAATTGCAAAGTAGTTGTACTGTGTGACTTCTCCTTGAATATACTTTCCTACCCACTCATTTTCTAAATCCTTAGATTAAGCTTTGTGGGAATCTGAATGATCTCAAGATTACACAATTTGGACATCATTGTTTTTAATATTTACTTGGCAGCATGAACTGACATACAAGGACAAATGGTTTTAGAGGTGAAGAAATGTCACTGTTTTAGTAGCTCTCCTTAGGTATATTGTTCTCATAGGAACATTAACATGAAATGATGTTTCCAGGAACTTCCTCTTTAAGTGTGAGACAATAAACATTCTCTTGTGGGTAGACTTTATGGTCAAATGGTCAGGTTTAGGGTAGGAGCTATATCTGGGGAGATGCTAAGAAGACATCTGAGGAGGTAACAGGGAAAATGACAGATGTCCTTTCTTCTTCTCAGTGCAATTAATCCATTAGATTGTCTCCCATGTGTTGAAACTGTTTCTTAGGGGAAAAAAGATGATGTGGGGGTCATAGATTTAGAGCTGGAAGGGACCTTAGATTTATATGGGTTTCTTAAGTGTTTTCCATGCCTCAAGTTCCTTCCTGCCCCAATCGGTACTCCACATTGCAGTCAAAAGAATTTTCCTAAAGTCCAGATCTGACCATGTCATTCAACTTTGCAATAAAATCCAATGACTTACTGTTACCTGTAGAATCAAATATAAACTCTGTTTAAAGCCTTTCACATACTGGACCTCACCTTGCTTTCCAATCTTGTTACATATTACTCTCTTTCATGTATACCACAGTCCAGCCAAACTGGCATTCTTACATATACCCTATAGCAAGAATATATATTGACATATACTATATCTCTATCTATCTATCTATCTATCTATCTATCTATCTATCTATCTATCTATCTACCTATCCATAGATTGATAAATATAGTGTATATACAGACATTTTGAAATAATACTTGATTATAAATGCCTAGGTAGGTCTAGCTAGAAAAAAATCCTATTGAATTGTCAAACTGTCTAATGTAATGTTTTCATGGTGCAGAGATTATTTTTTTAATATGTACTTATGATTTCAGCAACATAGAGAATTTTTGGTGTGGAAACTTCCTCTGCTGCTGCAAATCAACAGCTCATCTATAATTATAGCCTTAGAGAATTGTCCAGGGGGCATTGAGAGGTTAAGGGATTTGCTTATTGTGTGCATCAGAGCAGGACCTGAACTCAGGTCTTTCTGACTACAAGTCATGGTGCCTTGTCATTCATGCATAGCAACTGCATTTTCCAAAGTTGTACTTACAGAGTTGTAACAATTCATTGTGAAAATTTCACTTAGTTAATTATTTGTTCTGTATGATATTAAACAATTTTTTTCCTGAATTTTTTTCCAGGTAGAGTGATTTTTTTTTCTAATTGAATTGATCATCTTAGTTATTTTTCTTTCATATGGACATAGTCTAAGTCTAGCATTGTATCAGGACCATTATATCTAATGTTATGTCAAGAGCAGTGAATATTTTATATAAACTAGCTCTGGAATTAAATGGGTTTTGAGTAGAACCTGTACTATTGTTCTAGCGCTGTTTACTCTTCCTTTTTTTTAGCTTCAGCAATGACCTGTGGTAGCAGTACTTGTGCAGAGGGACCAGTTATGCTCTAGGCTGTATGTTATATTCGAGTCTGATGAAACTGAATTCAAAGCTAGTAGCATTTTGCATTGTCTACTTCATCAGCAATTATAGACTCTCCTGTAATATAGAGTACCAAATCTAAATTCCATTTTGATTTTTCAGGTGATGGAAGTCAAAGGACAGATGATCCACATTCCAGAGTCAAATTCTATTTTGTTTTTGGGATCTCCGTGTGTAGACAAGTTGGATGAACTCATGGGCCGTGGCCTGCATCTCTCAGATATTCCCATCCATGATGCAACTCGTGATGTGATATTGGTTGGGGAGCAGGCCAAAGCCCAGGATGGACTAAAGAAGCGGATGGATAAACTAAAGGCAACATTAGAAAGAACTCACCAGGCTCTAGAAGAAGAGAAAAAGAAAACAGTGGACCTTCTGTTTTCCATTTTCCCTGGAGATGTAGCCCGGCAGTTATGGCAAGGACAACAAGTACAAGCCAGAAAGTTTGATGATGTCACCATGCTCTTCTCTGACATAGTGGGTTTCACAGCTATCTGTGCTCAGTGTACCCCGATGCAAGTAATTAGCATGTTGAATGAGTTATATACCAGATTTGATCACCAATGTGGATTTCTGGACATTTACAAGGTAATTATGACTTTAGTTGCTTACATCTATAATACCCATCCAAAATGATTTATGACAATGCCCATCTCTATGTCAAAATGACTTGTCACAATGATGAAATTTTCAGGTTAGAAAATGTTTTTGACAAAATAGATTTTTGAATGATCAATAGTGCTCTAATTCAGTGATCTTCATGTCAAGTACTATTGCTTAAAAACCCATTCTCACAAATCTACATTTATTGAGTTGATTTCCTGCATTTGTACATGTAAATATGATTTTATTTCCTATTGATATTGTACAGGAATGCAAATTCTTCATAAACTGTCAGTCAGAATTCATTACTGTAAAAAAGAGCAACCTCTGATTTTGCCCAAGTCTGGGCTATTTATAACTCTGTGATGGACCTTTTTTAGAAAGTGGGGGTTTTCCACAACATAAAGTAAGCATTATATAATCTGATTGCTAAAGAAAGAGAAGCTGGAGTCTGCAGCTAAATGCCAGCTAACCTGCAGTTGGCACTTGGAAGGTTAAATAATGATTAGCAACAAATACATTGGAATATTAGAGCAGCATACCCTCTGAATAGCCTACTTGTGCCTGGGTTGTTACTGATGGCAGCAGCAACACTATGAACATGAAAATGAAAATGAAAAATTTTCATAATGTACACTAATCAGCTGTTGATCTGCTAAGGAGGGCTCTTCTTCTCCCTCCCATCAAGTCACATTAGTGCCATGTTGCTTTCATCCCTTCACCTGTCAAATCAATGCTCCCATATTTTTGTGCAGAGAATTTCATGTGGGTTTCTCCCCTTCAGTGACTAATGTTTTGTTTCAGTGGGGGAGGGCAAGTATTTGAGTGGGGATAAATAGTAGGTCTTTTTTCCACCTTTCTGCTTTGCTAATCCACATAGAGGCTTACTTCTTTTTATAGCATTTTTCATGTAAAGCAGCTTTAGATAGAACCCACACTTTGGAGCCTCACACTATGAGCCAGAGAATGTTAGATAAGACATGTTATTGAGTCTCCTTGAGATAAAGCTGTAATGCTTTTTTGGTTTCTTTAGCTCCATTGTAGAGCAAGTCAGCTCTAAAGGTTTCAGCTGGGTCCCTTCTTAGGCATATGCATATTGTGTAAATTATGCATGAGGGAATTGTTATATTATGCAAGAAGAGTTCTTAGAAATTAACTGCAAATCTTTTAGGCTCTATCATTATATAATGTTAGCAGGGCTGCCCAGCTGGTTGATTGAAGCTAAGCAGCTATCTACTACCAGGCTACCCTCCCCATGGCTCAAGGACATTTCCAGTGGGAAGGGTGGTTTATGAGAAAGCTGCCAACATTTCCTCCCACCCTCTCTGGAAATTTAAGGAAGCTAGCTAGTGCTGGCAGGCTCCTCCCTGCCCTCAACCCAGCAAACCTTTATTCTCCTCTTCCTATCCCTCCCCACAAGCATTCAGGTACTCCTAGGGTCTTTGCCTATGAGGGACCCACAGCATTAACAACTCTGCTCTGTGAACCTAAGACTCAGGGGAATGAAAAATAAATCCTTCTTTGAAAAATTGTTAGAGGACCCCTTACTTAACAATAACCTGTCAGTTAGGTTTTGAGGGAGGAAGGAAGGATGAGTCTCCTGAGGCTACCATCACAGCTACAAGGTAAGAGTGTAATTAGAGTTCACTGACATCAGCACCAGATTCCCCAGAGATGAACTAAGGTTTTTCACAAAGCAGATCAGGCTGTTGAAACAACCTTTCTATGAGATGATAGGGTTTTCTTCATACCATGTATTGTGGAAAAGGTAATAGTCATAACAATAATAGTAGCGATCAAGGTCTGAAAGGGAAAATATCAGGGTAGAATATCTACTCTCTCTGTCACAATGGGTTGTGTTTTTCATCTGCTCTCACATTTTAAGAAGGAAAAAAAATGATAATGGACCTAAGAGTCTTTTAAATCTGAATTGCTTAAAGCCTGTCAATAACTATCTGAAATTAATAGATTTTTGAACATACAGTATACTGGACATGTTTGACCAGTGTAGTAAAGTGGAAAACAATGGGTTTAAGTCTTGACTTTGATGCCTAACTTGCTCTGTGACCACGGACAAGTCACGGCTTCATTGGGCCTCAATTTTCTCATCAACAAAGTCAGGATACTAATATTTGCATCATGTGCCATGCAAATTTTTTTCCTATGAAAAGCACTTTGTAAAACTTTAAAACATTGTATGCATACTATATGAGCATGAGTTATTATCATTGTTTTAATCATTGAACCCATGGCAAAGGTAATCATTGTTGGTGTGGTAGGGAATGGCTTAGAGGAGAAGTTCCTTTGAGAATTTACATGTTTAGCACATGTTCCAGGCACTGTGCTAAGTGCTGAGTATGCGAAAACAGGTGAAAATAATCCCTTACGCTCAAGGAGTTGACATTCTAGCGAGGAATGATTAAAGATGATATTAGAATTGAGAAATACAAACTAAAAGATGTAGTTAGAACAGGCCTGCACAACCTGCAGCCTGCCAAAGGATTTTGGGTTGGCCCGTGAAAAATTGTCCTCTACATTTTTTACAGACCATCTAAAATCCTTTGGCAGGCTGCAAGCAGCTGTGGGCATAGGTTGTGCAGGCTTGAGTTAGGAGATGGTATGACCAAAGACAGAAGGGTCAATCAGGAATGAAGAAGAAAAAAGAGTTTAAAAAAATAACATTTATCTGAATTTATCTACATTCAGGGATGTCCTTTTGGGGGTCACATCAAGAAATTCAGCATTGGTCTAATAAATATAGATATTGAAATTTTGAGTAATGCCATTCTCATAATGTCTAGAACTAGATAAAACAAAACAAAACAAAAAAGCCTTGACTATAATCTAGTCTGACCTCCTTGTTTTCTAGATGAGGAAATTACCAGTTGGGGAAGTTCAAAGATTTGCCCAACATCACTTAGGTAATATAAGGCAGAGCTAGGAGTCAAACACAGGTCTTCTGACTTCAAATCCACTTCTCCTTCTATGATAATACCATGGAAATAGGATCATAGGTCTAGAACCAGAAAGGCTTCAGAGGTCATATAGTCTAATCCTGTTATTGTACGGATGAGGAAGTTAAGGCTCAGTAAAGTTAAGTGATTTGCCCAAGATTCCAAAGTTCTGTTCAATTAGGATCATAGAATTAGATTTAGAAGGTATCTTAAAAGACATCAAAAAAGTGAGACAGGAAATTAAAGTATAACAATAGCCTTTCCACTGTATATGAAAATTTAAGTAATTCTATTTTCATAGGATCTAGAGATGGAAAGGTCCTTAGCGATCATCTAGGTCAACTTTCTCACTTTTTACAGATGAGGAAATGGACTAGAGAGATACAGTGAGGCCAGGAGTTACACAGGTAGCAAGTGACTGAGACAAATTTTAAACCCAAATCTTCCAAATCTTTCCACTAATAGTTCTTAAGCATCTCATGTAATAGGTGCAGTGTGAGATGAGCCCTGGTCCCTTTCTTCATAGAGCTAACATTCTAGTTAGAAGAATATGGCAGGTACACCTATTCCCAGTCATTAAGTTTTATACAGTACTGAAATGTTTTCAGCCCTGTAGCTACACAATATCTTAAGAACCACAAATTCATTGTACAACGAAGCAGAATTGCTTCCCTCCCCCTCCCACCCCCAGATTCACCAAAGGAAGATTTTAAATTTTGATTCTGGACTAATATAATAACAGAGAAAATCATTTGCTACCCACTTATTTTTCAGGTTATTGCAAAAAAAAAAAAGGAACCAACTGAGAATTTATAGCCAAGAGGGTTGATTTGAGACTGTGCCTCATATAATGCATTCAAAATCTGCTACGACAAAATAATATGCAAGTGTTTAAATTTATGGTTGTCTCTCCCTTGGTTGCCTCATTATTCCATGCTTTCCTATCATTAGGGAGATGATACAACAACTAGTTACAATGGTAATGGTAGACTTTAGCTAAATTAGACCATGATAAAAAAAAAAGGTTCTGATGAAATCTTCAACCCACTTATTTTGCTGGAGGATGAAAAACAGGATGCTGACAATACTATGCATATTTTATGCATGGAAAAAATCAAACATACAACTTGCTTGACTATAAAGATATTAAAGGTATGGAGAGAAATAGGATCAAGGCAAAGTGAAGCATGGATTATGATTCTGATTTTCTTGAAATTAGAAAGCAGAAATTCAGCAGTGCCAGTGTGCTGATAGAATATTTTTTTCCTAAAGGATTCTTGGGGACTGAATACTGAGCATAAAATGAATAGAAATAACTATTTCCAGTTCAATTCTGCAAAAAAGTCTTGGTTTCACTACTTTCCTCCACTCATGAAGATTATAATTCCTCTGGACCTTTGTAGATAAGTTGTTTCATGAGTTGCTGTGACCAAGAACGTTCATCAACTAATGGCCAGTCTAGATCTGATTCTGATTCTTCTCAAAATTTACCTAAACTATGCTTGTATAGCAACTGCGCAGTCAGTCCCTTACACAGACCGTATCTGAAGCTTTTCCATCATGGTAGAATTTGTGCTCTGTTGGAATTCCCTTCAAGACCCAATGGTCAATTCTGTGACATGAAAACAGCTAAGAACTGGTATTAATAGAGGAAAGTATTCATGTTGATAAACAATATATACACATGCTTATACAACTCAGTTGACAGAGTTGATAAAATTAAACCATTTGCAAGCAATACTTTATAATCAATTTTAGTTTTATTGAAATCATGAATAGTGTCACCTCTACCCAAGTGCTCTGTCATCTAAGGGCCAATCTATCCAGGTTCAGAAAAATTAATCTCATGAAGATTGGTCACCATTGACTAATTTCATTTTGCCCCAGCACCTTTCAGAAACATCTATGGTTTAAGGGATAGAGACAGGAACTCAGGGCCACAGTTCTTGAACCTGGATTCAAGTCCTGCCTCTGACATACATTGGGTTTGTAACTATGTGTGAGCCAGTTAACCTCTGAAGTATTTTACTT